CCTACTGTTAAATTAGCTAAGTATAGCTAATTATTGCCTAAATCTTCTTTTATGAGAATAACTAATTTATAAGTATAAATTTGAATGCTTACCAAATAAAAGTTGAGGCTGTGACAGTAAGTGTAATCATAGCAAAATTTAATAAGTGCCGCTATTTGGTTCGAGGGTTTCAATATCCTCCATGCAAAGGTGCCAGACGAATATTGTTTAAATCATTATTTTATATATCAAGGCTAACAACAGTTTTAATTGCATTTTTGGGGATTGAAGTATAAATGCAACAGTCAAAGTTGTTGAAGTTTGTGCTAAATATTGTACCAGATATACTCTTCGGTACTAGCTAGTTGCTACCATCTACTTCAGCTTTGAGGAGCTTGGCCTAACTCTTAACAATGATGAATCAAGATAAGAGCCAGGACCACAAACTTAAACCAAGTAATTGAAATTTTTATAGGAAGGAATTAAACAAAAATATGGAAAGTAAAAGGGGAATTAGAAAATGAGGGAATGGACCCACGATATTTAATGTTTTCTCCCATACCAAAAATAATTTCATAAAAAAGAAAAGGAAAACTATTTAATTTGTTAAAAAGGAAATCATGACTATCTCTTTACCCTTAATATTCATCATAATTGATTTATTTGATTTACAATAAAAATAAACAATTTAAGATAAACTGATTTGAAAACAAAATTTTCTGTATACATCAATCAAAAGTTTATTGTACAACCCTATTTTTATACATATTATTAATAATAACACATAAGTCATATGCGTTGCATGTGTATGTACTTCTCTATTGCACACAATTTTCACTCTTTATCCTATTCTCTTTTTTCATAAATCAATCAAATAATTTTTTTTTTCTCCAAACCAAAAAACTATATTAAACCCTCTAACTCACACAAATTTGAAATCCTTTCTACACCCCTTTTAACTCAAAAAAATTTAAAATCCTTTTCTCCTATTCTCTTTTTTCGTGAATCAATCAAAAAAACTTTTTCTTTCCAAATCAAACAACTATACGAAACCCTTTAACTCACATAAATTTTGAAATGCTTAATATTTATTATTAATCTATCATAATTCATAAGTAATGTTTCTTTAATTTCCAATCCCAATCCAATTTTAATTTTTACATTTGTTTTATATTAGTAATATTTGAATTTATAAATGATAGTTTAGATCAGTTATTGTTATGTATTCTTAAATGGTTTTCTCATATTTTCTTTTTGGTGAATCAGTCAAAAAAAATATTTTCTTTTTGAACAAATAATTATATTAAACCATTTAGCTCATATAAATTTTGAAATTCCTAACTTTTATTATTAATCTATCATAATTCATAGATAAAGTTTCTTTAATTCTCAAATCCCAAGTCAATTTTAATTTTTGCATTTCTTTTATATTAGTAATATTTGAATTTATAAAAGATTTTGTAGTTTAGTTATTGTTATGTATTGTTAATTTAATGGGTATACTTTTATTCTCTCATAAATAAAGGTAAGTTCGAAAGCATAAAAGCATGTCACACACAACTTACCTAATGTGAAAATATTTTTTTTTCTGCTTATATGTTTATTTAAATTGAAAAATTTGAAAATGTATCTTAAATTGTTAATAAAACATTATAATTAAATTTTATTCCAAAAGTAATCGAATTTTTTACTCCAAATCGAATTATTGACCTACAACTCTATAAAAATTACTACTTTGTTTGTTATTTCTAATTTCATCCCTGACATAAATAATTTCATCCCTACATAAATCATCAAGATATAATACAAATTTAATAAAAAGAAATATATATATATATATATATATACACACACATATATACACACACTAGTAATTGGCACTTGAGCTTTCTGGACTAAGTTTCCGTGCAGGCGAAAAGATAATATATTAATAAAAAAAAACAAATAGCTCTATATTTTGCAGTCACCATGTATCCATAGTTGGACTTAGGAAAGTTTATCAAAATTACTAGTCATGTAAATCTGATAATTGTTTAAACTTTTCAAGGACTCAATAGAATAAATAGTCTAGTTTTTGATATAGTTAAATTTAAAATTTGTTAAGAACAATTTACTTTAATAAAAAGGTTTAAGTGTTAATAAAGGAAATAGATAGATAAAAATTAACTATTTTTTAATTTAATAAAAAAATTATTTGTGAAGTAAAATTTACTTCAATAAGGACTTCGATAAGACAATTAATAAAAATTAATTAATTAAGGACTTAATTTAATAAATGATATAACTTTTTCTCAAACCGTTGATTACGATGAAGCGTAATATATGTACAATGACATAAATGACTGAACTCTAAACGTACCTCAATAAGTATAATATTATAATTTATAAATATTATTGGTTTTAATTCTAATCCTATAACTTCATGCAAAAAATAATGCGGTGTCAAGTGTACCGATCTCTCTCTCTATATATATGCAGCTGAATTGTGTATACGATGAGTAAACAAACATATACAATCAAGATGGCAACATTTGCTTATTCAGAATTCCTGATATTACCAGTTATTATCTTGTTCTTTACTGTTCTTCGATGCTATTCCAGAAAAAACGACCTTCCATGGAATTGGCCCATAATTGGAATGTTGCCGACGCTATTAACCAACTTGCACCGGTTCGCTGACAGATGCACTGAAATCCTTGAAAGCAGCGGCGGCACATTTACATTGAAAGGTCCTTGGTTTGTCAATATGGATCTTCTTATCACTAGCGATCCTGCGAACGTGCATCACATATTCAGCAGCAACTTCTCCATGTATCCGAAAGGGACAGAGTGGAAGAAGCGATTTGATATTTTTGGAAGTACACTTTTCAATTCGGATTTTGAGGAATGGAAGAATAACAGGGTATTTACTCGAGGCTATTTAAGCCATCAAAGGTTCCATGAACTCCTGCTAAAGAGTTTTGAGGATTGCATGAAGACTAAGCTGATCCCAAGCCTGGAGCATGTCTCTAAACAAGATATACCTGTGGACTTTGCAAGTCTACTTAAAGAGCATGTATTTTATATTTCTTTCAGACTTGCTACTGGTTATGATGCTTGTTCCAGCTCCCCTGTTAGTTCCCATGAAAATCCTTTTTCAAATGCCATATCGAATGCTTGCGAAGCCATATTTGCTCGCCATATCCTTCCAGAGAGTATTTGGAAACTACAAAAATGGCTAGGGATCGGAAAAGAAGGGAAACTACGTGATGCTTGGATAGCAATTGATAACGTTTTGGCAGAGCAAATATCGCTAAAGCGAAAAGAGATGAGCGACAGAATGGCGGAGGAGGATATAGATTTCAATGCATTGGAACTTCACTTGATCGGACACAGAATCCTTGGACCTGTATCTATTACTAATAGCTTAATTAGAGACAACTTGCTTGGTTTGATGTTCGCTACCGAAGATACTACAAGCGCAACCCTCAGTTGGTTCTTCTGGCTTCTTTCAAGGCATCCGGCTGTTGAGAACAGAATTCGAGAAGAAATACAACAATATTTTCCCGAAAATGGAGAAAAGAAATGGCTAGCCTATGGTGGTAAAGAGATAGATAAACTGGTTTATCTCCACGCAGCTCTGTGCGAAACCTTGAGACTATTCCCGCCAGTTCCTTTCCAGACAAGGGCTGCTCTTCAAAATGACACCCTTCCTAGTGGTTGTAGGATCAATCAGGGTCAAAAAATCCTGATCTGCACATATGCAATGGGGAGGATGACATCTGTGTGGGGAGAGGATTGTCGTGAATTCAAGCCAGAGAGATGGATCACCCACGACGGAGGGATTAAACACGAACCAGCACACAAGTTCTTCGCATTCAACGCAGGGCCTAGGATTTGTCCTGGGAAGGATATTGGTTTTACTATAATGAAGGCAATTGCATCAACTATTATCCACAACTACCATGTCCAGGTAGTAGAAAACCACCTCGTGACCCCTAAATCCAGCGTCATTCTGCATATGAAGCATGGTTTAATGGTTACAGTGAAGAAGAGATGGCCTTGACATTGGTCCTCTCATATACGGCACTATGTACGGATAAGGAGCCAACTTAGCAGCCACCCCAATATCCATGTTTTGGTTTTCTAATATCAAAAAGGGTCAAATAAATAATTAATAAATAAATAAATAAGAGCTGCACCTTTAATTTGAAACATAGAATAAAATACTTAAGTCTAATTTTAATTTGTATTAATGCCTCAACCTTTTCGGTGTGAGGCAGAGCAAGCTTGAATGAACTCCAAATTTGTGACTTGATAATTTCAAATTACATGAAGATTAAAATAAAATCAGAATTGTTTTTGCATAGGAATATTCTTAATTTCATATTATTTTTTCAAAGAGGATGCTTAAACAATTAGTGCTAATATATCCACATGGGCCCATTACTCAAAGAAACAAATATACTAACTAACAAAATTAGAATTAAAAATAAAGAAAATCAACATAAAATCCAAGTTTGATTTTGATCCAAAAGTTAATACGTATGTATTTGATCTGCAAGGAGCAAGTTAATATAATTCTGATAGATGATTAATTTTCAATTTACTTAATTGCTTAACTGGATCGGTGTTATCCAATTCACCTACCACTTCAAGTGTAGCAAGAATAGGGCCATTCTCCGGAATGGCATCATTCGAGGCTTAACCTCCAACTCTGTGGTCAAAGTCCACATGCTCTGTTTAACATAATTAGGCTTCTTTGTAGTAAAATATTAAAACCTTGTTTGATTTAGTATAAAAGCTATTATGAAGTTTTTATAAAAACTAATAGTTTTTAAAACTAAATTAAAACTACTTGGTAAGATGTTTGATAAAATAAAATATATAAATTTTAATTTTAGTTAAAATTACTATAAAAGATATTCATACTATCTTCAATCACTTAATACATCAAAATGAAATAAATATGCTTTAAGTTTATATACGATTTCAGATATTAAAATTAAAAAATTTATAAAAAAACATAATAACTTTCAAACTTGTGTAATAATAATAATAATATTAGATTTTTGTTAATTTAGCAAGCAATTAAAACATGATATTTGAGTTCTCCAAAAACAAAATTGAAGTCCACTACCAGATTGTAGACTATGCTAGCATTTGCCTCTTAATTCCCCATTCCACAAAAAAATCTTGCGTGACAATATAAAGGACCAAATCAGGGGAAAGAGTATCTGGCGTTTTGTTTCTATACATGGCAAGTTATATAGATACAACAGTATGCGTGAACGAATCATGATCCAACCTTAATGTTGACACTTCAGCTAAGGATCTTCCCATTATCATAGATCAGCCTTTCTGGGCATTTTAGACTGTTATCTGAGCAAGAAATTCTCTACTTCTATAACCCTGTTACAAACATAAATGTCCATATTACTACCCAGGTGTTATTTTTTATGACACTTTGACCATCCAAATCATCAAATGCCAAATGTTTCTATTGGCAAATGACCCGGACAGAACCAAAAAAAGTAAACACACACACACACACACACAACAATACCTTCCTACAAGTCCTGGGCTAAATCTCACAGGTAAAAGAGAATAGCAGAATCACCTGTTTTAAGCATCTTCACATTATTCTGTTCAGAGGAATCCTATTTCCCTGATGAGGAATCCTTTGTACAGGGGATATTACTTGTGGCATTGTCATGCCAACTGAAACAATAATCTCTGCAGAAAGAAAGAAAATAGGATAATCACATAACCATGCAAAGATGTGTATAACCCACCAGCAATAAAAAATGAGACTTGAAGGATCTAGTAAGGCACAACTCAACAGGTTTTCTGATTGAGACTAATATATCCTTTAGTGGGGAAGAATGTTCAGTGCAATTTGTTGACACCTTTATATTTTTTTTCTCCTCATTCTATCACATTTCCAAATATCTTGGAAATTTCAAAAATTCACATAGTATTTCATAATGAGTATTAGTCAACTAAATAGATAGTCATTAAATAGTTATATTACTAGAATGTTAAACACCATCATACAGTGAGGGCTTCATGTATTTTCTCAATATAGCAAAAGTGTAAAAGGTTCAAGAAGTACACTTCTAATCGAACTGAAATGAAAGATTTTGGCAATGAGTTCTACAGTCTAACAAATTTTGAGCACATATATATCGTACTAGCAGCACAAATACAAAACAAATGGTTGAATTTAAAGCCACCTACAAATTGTAACTCTTTACTGTTTTAAGAATTTACAATTTTGTTTGCCCTGTCTAGTACACCAGTGTAGCTGTCAACAAACGATGGCAGTTACCATCAAAATTTAACATTTGTTTTGTTGCCAACTTGACTTCTAAAGCACCTAGAGAAATATCATCATGTTCTTTAACTACAATCATACCACTCACAACTTTCCCAGCAAAGACAAAAAGCTAGCATTAAAAGCCTCTGCAGCTTTTTCTTCTTCAATATTAATACATAGAAAAAGAGTTGGGCAACGCCAAAAAAGATTCAATGCATTGTAACGGAGAAGGCAATAACAGAAACAAGAAAGAAATTTTTTTTCTGCAAACAATGATACAAGAGACAACAAAATGCATCACACAATTATTTCAAAGAATAGACAACAGACCTATGCCTTCTCGAATAGATAAGTTTGGCCTTAAGATCTCCTCAGAATTAACAAGAAATATGTCCCCAATGTATAGATGATTTGTTGGTACATAAACACTGCACAACTCTTCATCCCCATTATCCCTCTGGAATCAAACAGATAACCAATTATTGAATCAGAGAAGCTCAACAAGATGCAACTATAAATCACCTGACCATCTTTGCCAATGAAAACATTATCTTCCAAGATATTGCATCAGGCTTTTCCAGAATTTAAAACTTCCACTTATGTGGATATTGCAGACTTATGCTTTACGCTTAAAGCTTAATTTCAAGAGGAAATTTGTGATCCTCCTCAATCAATCCAGAGAAACTGATTTACAAAGGGAACCATTCTATTTATATATTACCTAGGCTTTTAGCAACCAGTGTCACATTCTGTGTAAACTTAAAATATGGAAGAATGTGAAAGCTAGCAATAATTAAATTCTGTATGAAGCCACAATTTAATCTATATAGAAGATTGGGCGGAAAATAAGTTTCCCACTGCTGAAAAATGTCATTCTGATCTATTTACCAAATTAGGGAGGAAACCAATATTCCTACTTCAACAGAGGATTTTACTTTCTGTTTAAAAAGATAAAACAGAAATTAACAGCAGCAATTCACTTGATGGACAATTTATTCAAAGCAATTCCATTTACTTGGAATAGGCATCTCTCATTAGGGCTGAGCATCCTGGTGGTTGAAGTCACCCAACCCATGGCTTTCAGCGGTTTAGGCCAAAAATAGTTCGGACAATTGGCTCCAGTTAAGGAGTCGGTCGATCATGGCAGTTTGAGTCGTTGATTGGTTCTGCCGTCAATGGAGAATCCTTCACCCCAACACCAACCGAAAAACCGACCCCTATAAAGTGAAAGGCTAAGGTGTAACCATTATAACCAGGGATCAGCTGGATTGAAAGGCAGCCAAAGAAACAATTTAAAGCTGCAACTGATCAAGAACCGCATCAAGAACCCAAAGTCACGAGAGAAATCGCAAACAACGACAAGGAAAAGGATCATAACAAACACTTGTTTAGAAGAAAAGCTTAGGAGAACAAAGTCAGAAGAGATATCAAACAGTGGGCTCTTTACAAGGCATGTGTTTAGGAGCAAGGTCAGAAGATACAAGCTTTTGGATGAGGTTTTAAGTTTAAAAAGGACTCCAATGCTTATTTAAAAAAAACGAACGTACATACAAAGATGGTTATGTTTTTGTTTTCTTGTGGGGAATTTTGCAGCCGTTAGAACCAGCCAACCATGGTCGGTCACAGTTTGATTGGCTTCTCCTTTGCTTTGGTCAGTGGCGGTCAGTTCCGCCACCCCGGTCAGCTTGATCAGTTGTGGCTTCCTCCAAAACTGAGGCCAACCGAACCACCCGATGCTCCTCCTATCTCTCATGCTTGATGTGTGTGTGTGTGTGTGTGTGTGTGTGTATAATTTGGGACTAGGTATCCTGGCCTACATGTTGTACCCAATTAACAAATAACGTTCAATGTGCACAAGATGGTTCTCAATAAGCTCAACCAAATTGAAAAACTATGAGACCTGAATATTTGAATTGGATAAGTATTACTTACCTGAAGGATAACAGAAGATGTGATAAAACCAAATGCATATTCACCAAGACGAGGATGACGAATAATTGCTACCTCTTTAAAAGCACTAGTATTTTGGTCTGTGAGGAGGAAAAAGAAAAGATAAATTATCGAGTTTGATTACATTAAGCATCAACTCACTAATTCCTAAATTTATTAGTCAGGAGTACACATGGAAAACCAGCTTAGGTGAATCATCAAAGAAGGATTATACAAGGCAAGCCATCAGAGATTTCTACTTGCATGGTATCACTCTCTTAAACAAGCTCCATTTCCTCTCATAAAAGCATTTTGAGATCCATAAGCATTGCCAATTCTTTCTCATAAATACTCTTCACCCTCTACCTCTGCCCCACCCAAACCAAAAGAGCATATTCTTCTTACCGGCTCTGGTAAGAAACTAGAACCTGCCAGCTAAAATCCAGCAACGATTTTTTAGATATTGCATTCTGGTTAATGATAATTAGTTAAAGCAATCAATTTTCCTTTGTGCCAGAATTTACTTTTTCAGATCCTATTAAAACGTTTTGATTAATCTACTTCAAAAAAATAAATAAATGTAAGATAAAACAGAAGTCCAATTATATTCTTAATTATCCCTAACCTTTTTAGGTTGCAAATTTACTATAAAAAAAAAAACTAAAATATCATTACTTTTAACCTGATCATAACTTGGAAACTGTTTTACACCAAGCATCAACTCATTAATTGCTAAATTATTAATATCAAGAGTAAACATGGAAAACCGGCTTAGGTGAATAATCAAAGAAGGATATACAAGGCAAGCCATCAAAGACTTCTACCTGCATGGTATCACTAATTAAACAAGCTCCACTTCCTCTCATATAAGCCTTTTGAGATCCCTAAGCATTGCCAGTTCTTTCTCACAAAATACTCTTCACCCTCCACCTCCACCCCACCCAAAAGAAAAAGAGCATATTCTTCTTACCGGATCTTGAAAGAAACTAGAACCTGCCAGCTAAGCTCCAGCAAGCATTTTTTTATATTGCATTCTGATTCATGATAACAAGTTAAAGCATCCGTGCCAGAATTTACTTTTTCAGATCCTATGAAAACTTCTTGGTTAATCTAATTCAAAATATATATATATATATATGTGTGTATATATATATATATATATAAATGTAAGATAAAACAGAAGTTAAATTATAAACTTACATATCCCTGACCTTTTAGGTTGCAAATTTACTATATATAATAAACTAAATATCATTAATTTTCAACCTGATCATAAATCGGAAACCGCACATGATAACACCACATTCTATAACAATGGAAAAAGGGCACAGTAAATAAGAAGAAACTGTTTAGAAACAGATAAAAACTAGTATTACCAGGAGAAATAGCTGTGCTAATTTGTTTGGAGGCAGAGTATATGTGCTTTACAAAGGGCATTCGTCTGATTAACCATTCCCCAAGCCAGAAAACAGTGGCACCCAGCCATGATGAAGCAAATATGCCCACAAAATATATAAACAATAGAGATGTAAGGAACCCAAGGCCTGTACAACAAGACATACAAAATTTCAGTAAGAAATGCAGCTATGAGAATAAATACAAGGCACTCAAGCTCAAGGTTAATCATAAACAGCAAGATCAGGCAAGTTTTTAAAACAGTGCAGCAGAACAGGAAACAAATGAAAACAAGATAACAAGATTTTGAAGCATCCTTTTCCACTAAAAAACCTGACTCCATGAAGGAATTTCAATCACAACTATCTTCTAAAACTGCACTAAGGTTACTATGTACCTCATCAAAACACCAATAAGTCAAATCCTGTAACAACAAATGCTTCAATCTGGAATAAGTTGAGTCAATAAGGAAGCCCAAAGTATCAGACACCAATTATTATAGCCTCTAGTATACTCCAGAAGCCCAAAAGGAACTGCCACCACCATTGCAGCCGTGGCCAGAATGGAAAGCTGCTGCGTGCCAATGAAATCACACAGAGTGATGCAGAATGCAAAGAAGATAATTCTGGAATTAACTTCCTATTAAGACTTTATTTTGTTACTTTATAGTATTTCGGGGGCTTAATTATAATATCCTATAGATTTAGGGTTATATTTGGTGTTCCATGTGTATATTAGGGTTTAGGATCTTTGTATGTGATTCCCTTATGTTATTAGGTTTTGGATTTAAATCAAGTTTATCAGTTTGTTAATTGGTGTCATTGGAATAGGAGTTGTGGTTCATTTAGAATTAGGGTTGGTAGGAGCCTAAATAGATATCAATGTACTCTTTATGCAGATATAGAATATTATGAGAAATTTTTCAGAATTATTGCCATAGTGGTTGTGTGAGGCAATCAACCTTAGCTGTACTTCCTAACTCCCAAGGAACCATAGGTGTGAACCTTAGGTTTTCTCTCTTCTTAGTTGTGTGATGATATCCTGGAATCCCAGGTCTGAAGCTTAAGGACCATACCTTTCCACTTCTCTGTTCTTATTCAATTTTTCCTGTTTTCCTCAAAAATATCAGATTATAAAACTATGACCCTAGCCTACTAGCTGCTCTTCATCAAGCAGTCAATAATAAATCGGCTGAAATTACAAAGAACAACTGTAAAGCTCAGATTTATATCTCCCTTGATCATTCATCTGCCCTTACCCTTTTCTATGTGTCAAAGATAATTAGCAACTAACTCATTGTTAAGGAATTTTTATGAATAGAAGTAACAATAATATATTTCAACTGTTGCCTCTAATAATGAAAGTGGAGGATACATGTCCAGACACCAAAAACTTTGCAGAATTTCACTATCCCTGTTACCGAAACATCGTAAGTAGACCAGCCATAAGTTGACACTGGTAACCTAGAACATAATTTATATATTTCTAAATATCAGCATGGGAAAAACATTCAGTTACTTGGAAACCTTACCAAATACGTCAACACCAAGCCTGGCATAGATTGGACTAAAGAAACCATCAACAAACTGAATAAACCACCATGTCACAAGAAATGTAACAGCAACTGGAAAGAGTACCACACTGTAATGTCACCACAAACAATTATACTGAGTGGAGAAAACAGTCAAAATTAAATAAGCAAACCAACAACAATAATTAAAAAAAGAAAAGAAAAATAGTTCATAATGCTTGCTACCATCCGGTCATGAACTTCTTTGAGACCCAACTTTGTAGAACAGCATAGCAAGGCTGCCAAATGCAAGAGCTAACAACATAAGACATGCAAACAGTTGATTTCTAAAACAATAATTCAGTTAAATTCTATATTAAATACCCAATCAAATCACATGTCTAGTGTAATGAGTGTACACCCATGTGGAGATGCACCTACATATGGATGTGAGTACGTTCATACCCACATCAGCCTACATGAGAGCACAGGTGCACAAGTTTGTGAGAGACTCTTTTCCTTCAATGCTTCATTTGGAAACAAGAATTTGAGAGAGTGAATTTGAATTTAATTAATTTTACAACTTGCAAGGATGAGTGTTGTTATTGTATAATAACTAGAAAATATTCATTATACCAAATATATGGTCTTGAAAATCCTTATTCTCATTGCAATCATGTCCTATCACATCAGCTATCGCCCAACAAATCAAGACGTGATTCGTCATTGAAAATTACCACTTTAGCATAAATGGGTTTATACTTCTCTTTTTCTTTTCTTTAGAAAACTAAAAATTTTAATATTTATCAAATAAAGCAGGAACCTTCCTTTTCCTCCTGGCAGCATATATATAAGCACACCAAGCTTGCTTTCCATTAATAATTTCTCAGTTCTGCTTAATCTCTAGTAAAAAAAAAATTAAACTAAAGTAGAGAATTAAACACTGAATTAAAGTCCATTTCATCAATTCATAAAATGGAGTAAATTTGTTATATACAATTGATGTCGGGACGATTAGACATAATCAACTTTTTTTATTTTGGGAAAATAAAAGAAAAGGAAAATTTTTATTAAGAGAGATACCTTGCGAGTGGAGGAATTGGGAGAGCTAGGAGGAGATTTAGGGACATCGTCCGGGTCATGAGGAGCGAGTCCTTCACTCAGTGAACTCGATGTGCCTTCTTTTTCTTCTCCCATTGTTCACTTTCTTTTCTTTTTTTTTCCACTTTCTTGGTTTTATCTCAGTTGTGAGTTTTGTCAAAGTCGGCATTGTCTCTTGACTTGTTTCTGCAATGGTGGTTGTGCCATTGTTTGGTTATACGAATAACTGCCCCTCGGTTCCTGATTGGTCTGGTCAATCAGGAATCGGTTTTCAGTAGTATTTTGACCCCTTGTGATTTTAGCTTTGACAAAGAATACCATGTATTCTTTTTTTCTCCTTTCAACAATTAAACCCGGCCAAATGAAAATCCCTCATGGAAAGGTCACTCCTTCCCCCTTACACTTTATTATCAAATTTTTTTATACAATACTTTAAAAAAATTTTAATTATTTTAAAATTTTAAATAATTTTTTATTTTTTAATTATTTTCAATTAAATTCATAAATTTTTATTTTGAATCAAATAAATTTTTATAATTAACAGTTTATTAACTTCATTAGTCAAAATGTAACTTTTCATTTTATATCCACGTAACATTAACTTGAAAGTTGACATTAATTTGAAAATTGAAAATGTCATATAACCATATCATCATACTAAATAAACATATCATGTTAAATTTCACAAAAAAAAAATATTATGTTACCATCCACTATGACATATACATATCACATCAACATCACGTAACATAAATGATAAAAAATAATTTAATTAATAATAGTTAATCAACTATTAGTTATAAAGATCTATTTAATTTAAAATAAAATTAAAAAAATTTCATTGAATATAATAAAAAAATAAAAATTTATTTGAATTTCTGTAAATAGTTTAGAAGCTTTTGTAGATATTATGTACATTTTTTTCAACTTTAACTCGACTAATTATAAATATTTTATCAAATTATATTTTAATAAATTTTCATTTGAAAACTACTTTATTTAAAGTTTTTAATGAATATTTTTAAAATTTTAATAAATAATCATTTGAAAATAAAATGAAACAAAAGTTAAAAAAATTGGCCAAAGAAAGTCAAAACATGACAACAAAGTCATTACTTAGAACATGTTTGGCCTAATTTTTTTTTTTTAACTTAAAAGCTATTATAAAGTTTTTATAAAAAATAATA